TTCCAAATTTCAATAGTGTTGACTAAAATCAGAATTATTACTTCATAAATGGGCTTGCTGCTCACCTCCATAGACTCGAGATCTTTCCCGATCCAAACTGTGTTGTGCACGGGGAGGACTCCCCAACCGAATGCTTTGGTGAGATTCTTGCACTCTCTTATGCAACTCTTCTGCATTTTGTGAGATATTCTCAATTACAGGTTTCATTTTCCACCCTGGGAAATCAAACCTTAAAATCTCTCGATCTATGATGGCTATTATAATCGAAAAAAGAGTTCTTTGTCAGAAACTAGTTATTTTGTCATGATCATGCAAAGTCTTTGAAAATTATTTTGCATTTTGTTAATACATATGTTGCTTAAAATATTTTCAGTGCTTAAAAAGTCCTTAAAAGGTGCTTATTTTTTGTTGAAAGATTTGGCTACTCACCCTGAAAAAAATTATGTCAAATACGAAACTTGTATGGTATATAAATTTTTATAGATTTTTTGCACTCAAATATTTTAGGGTTTTTCACTTAGTGTCACAATTACCCCTGCTTAGTACATTAATTACCAAAAATTTTGTTGAGTACTTAATATTGAGTAATGGATTTTATACTTGCGTTGTTTCAAGTTTATCTACTTATGAAAAATAATTTCAGAAGAATTTAAAGAATTTTTAAATTACTAAGCTTTTGTTTTCAGCAGAGGATAAGAATTTGAAAAGGTTTTGTCTTTCATTTTTGCTTGTGCAGAAATTCTATGCTGTTTTTTATAATTATCAAAACTATTTCATTATTTAAACTTTAGATTTTATATAATGCTAATAATGTCTGGATGAATATTTTTGGATTATTTTTTATCAAGACATGAAATGACACTAAAAATTTACTCATTGGTTTGATTTTTATTGTTATTTCATATTCATACTTAGTTATTAATTTTTTTTTTTCAGTAATGAGTGCTTTATGTTTTAATGAAAATTGTTTTAAAAATTATTTCACAGGTATTTATTTGCACAAGGAAAGCAAGTTTGGAAAAAATGAAAAAAAAAGATTTTTTTTTTTGCTGATCCAGGTGGGTGTTTTTATTGTTTATAAAAATGTCTTAAGATGCTCACTGATCCATGACTAATCAGTTGTAAAAAAATATTAAAACATAAAAGTTTGGAAATTTTCAAATTCTTGTGCTATTTTTTTCTATTATATTATAGCAGTAACATATAAATTGTGAGAGACTGTTTTTCAATTAAATTTTTATTTTATGAGAATAACTATGATTTTTAACAACCTTAATTTTTATTGTTATGTGTTAACTTATTTAGTAGGCAATTAGATATAAACAAAACATTTTAAAAAAACATTGCACTTACAAAATGGAACATCTCCATTTGGAAACACACTGTAGACTAATCACTTACTGGCTAATTTTGACAATTAGGTAGAAATGTTGTCTCAATATCACCAATACAGTCATATATCATTAAGAAAATTACATTAAACTCATTTTTTAAACTATTCTGGTTTGAAAATAATTGTTAGTTTAAACTGTTTCAGATTTGAAAAACTTGCTATTGTCGAATTATTTGCTTTTTAATTTATAAATAATTTAGGAGATTAGTATTTAGTTGTGAGTATTGAAAAACAAAAGGAAAACTAAAACAAAATATATCTATTAGCTTTTATTATTAATATAATGACTTGCATTTTTTGTGTATNACAAACATATTTTTGAGAATTTTTGACTTGCAATAAGAAAAATTTTATTTTACAGTAATCACTGCATAATTAGACTCAGGAACAATTTATTTTGCAATATAAATCAAGCTGTATGTAAAATTATAATATTTTTAATGACCTATTCTTCTTTAAAGGAGACAGTTTTTTTTCTTAAATTAAGTCGAAATCATAAAGCCTATCTATTTATGATAAATTTTACTATACTCATGTGTAACTCCAAAGAATAAATTACAATGGATTTCCTTTACATACAATGATACCAAATACAAGGATATTGCTCAAACTTTAAAAATTCACTACTGGTTTCAGTTGGCATGGAATTCAACAAATTAAAATTAAATACTTTAATTGAACAAAATTTATATGTTTTAAACAAAAGCCTAAAATAAAAACAAAACTGTTATAGTTCAAAATAAAATCTAATTTTTATTTGGTAATGTACTTTATTATTTCTTTTTATTGATTATTCTATTTTTTTATATAGTAAGCGTTTTCTTTTTTTAATTGAAAAAGATCACTTAACCAACAAAAAATTGAAATCAAAACTACAAACACAAAGTTCATGTTTTTCGCCTCTTTATGAATTTCTCAGGTTCCAAAAATATATTAGGGACATATTAAGGATGTAACAAGTATTTGGCCCTTTTGTCAAAAATTCAGTTGGTCGAAGGATCAGCCAAATATTAAACAGAATATTTTTTAGAAAAGTGTTTTTTTTTTTTAATTTGTATAAATATGATAGAGAATAATATAAACTATATAGTATTGTTTATTATTAGATATCTTTTTTACACAATTTTCTTAAATTTTAAAATCCATGTTTCTGCACATGGCTAGCAAATTTATCATATACAAGTCAAATGGAAAAACTAAATTTGAAGAATTGAAACTAGATTAGTTTACATTGAACCACAAGTTTTGGCTTTTTTTAAAAATATATATATATGTTTTCAGATAAGCAAATTTCGTAATTTTTTCGATACTTTTAATTCTAAGAATTGAGAAGGATTTTTTTTTTTCATTTTTGCTGGTTTCATTATAACTCAACATTTTAACAGAATGTCTCATACTATTAATTTATTATCACTTTTTCCCTTTGCTGTAATATGAATAACCAGTAACATAGAACTGTGATTTTCAGTATTAAAGTTTTGTTTTAGGAAATTTAATTAACTTTCTTTTTGATTAACTTTTCCTTTTACAAGCATTTTTTTTTAATGAACATTACTAATGAACTATTTTACAGAAATTTTTTTCTTCTAAGAATATGCTAATATAAAACATTTAAATTCAGATTTTCAGCATAAAATTTTCATTAAAAAAATTAAGAACGGTTTTTGTTTATATCTAGTTTTTTTTTCTTTTTAAGAAAAATTCTTTTTTATAGACGCTTTTATTGTAACGTGGCATTTTCAAAAGCATTTCCGTTACACTTAATTTCTTTTTTTTGCTCTTTCTGGTAATTTTGAGGCCTTAGAAAAGTAAAAAATTCTGTTAAATAAAAATAATAAATTAAGTAATGAAAACAAAATTTCTAATTTAAAGCAATTTCTTAAAAATCAAAACATATTGTGAAATTAGCAGATTTTAGAAAAAAAGAGGACAATTTCGCGGCAAGACCTGCAGCTCTAATCATGAGAGAAAATGAGAAATGATGTTTATTTTCATCTTCGTTAAATCGGATTACCAATTTCGTAATATTAGTATTTTTAATTTATTGTTTCTGTAGAGATTCATTTAGGGATTCTTAAAATATTCGTTGCATTGAAATTTTTGCTATTTTGGAATTTGACTGTATATTTTCTTTGATGTAAATAATGTCTGGTGCGCTAAGCTTTATACTTATCTGAATTTAAATTTATTCTTCATTTTTTTGTATTGAGTATATTCTTCAATCATTGACAAAATAACTAATGAAGAGTTGAATATAGTTATTTATTACTTAAATAAAAATTAGTGTGTTTATTTTATTAGTGAGTTGGCTGCCAAAGTAAGGATTGAATTACTTGGAACTTACACTGAAGACAATGCTTCTCAAGTTGGAGATGATACTCATAAGTAAGCTATGTACATTCTTAAGTTTTTAGTGCATCACATAATTATAACACTATTTGAGTTGAATGTGAATTAGTTCCCTGTGGCAGAATTTTTTTAAGCTATCTGCAACAAAACTTTCTAGCACTGATATCTATCTGCAAGACACTTTTAATAATAACAAACATATCTGCTACTAATTTAAATTAGAAAAACATTGTGTTTACAAAAAAAAACTATAATACTGAAGCATCTATTTTATCTTTCACGTAAGGCTAAATCTGAAAATGGATTCAAGTTTTGTTGGGTTCGCGATGGTAAAATATTCCTGAGAAAAGATCAATCGTCCAAAATAATACATGCGAAATCATCTCAAGACCTTAATATTCCATCCAACTGAAGAAACATTTTTATCTGTGCCAGACTGCCTAAAAATCGAAAATTTGGNTTGAGAAAAGATGAATCGTCCAAAATAATACATGTGAAATCATCTCAAGACCTTAATATTCCATCCAACTGAAGAAACATTTTTATCTGTGCCAGACTGCCTAAAAATCGAAAATTTGGATGATTTAAATTATTTTTTTACCTCAACCTGTAAGTTAAGCATTAATATTTTACATATAAATATTAGAAGTTAAAGAGCCAACTTTGATAATTTTATTTCACATATTTCTAGCACGATTGAAAATATAAGTGTTATAATTATGTTGGAAATCTGGATTTACCAAAATGAAACTAATTTTTACTCAATAGATGATTATAATTCATTGTTTAATTGCTGAAATAATAATCGCTCTGGAGGTGTTTGTGTTTTTATTAAAAGATGTCTTGATATTTCAGAGTTAGCTATACATTTTGTTTCCGCAGAATCTATATTACTTTATTGCAAATCTTTAGATTTATTATTTCTATCTTTGTATAGATCTCAGGATTTTAGTGTTGATTTTTTTAATACTGAACTTAAAGTAATAATCTCTAAACTTAAATATCCTAATATAATACTGATGGGTGATATAAGTATTGATATTCTAAATGATGATTTTATTACTCATGAATATATTAATTTGTTATCCCAATTTGGATTTCAAAGTTATATAGACAAACCAACTAGAGTAAATTCCTCATGAACTTGCATTGATCATGTCTTCGTAAAAACAAATAAATTTTCAATCAAATCCGGAATATTTATAAATGACCTAAACGATCACTATCCAACCTTTTGCAGTCTTTATAACGATGAGGTAAATAAAATTAAGGAAACTGAAAATGAAATTTCAATCAACTATAATACGCTCTATAATTATTTGTCAAATTAAAAATTTAATTACAATCCTCAAGATTCTCTTGATCAGCAATATCAAAGTTTTGTTTTCAAACTCAATAATTTAAAAAATAAATTTAAATATACGCATACATCAAACAAAAGAACTAAAAATAACTGGATGACTAGTAATATCTTGATTTTAATTCGAAGAAAGGAAAAACTATTCAAAAAAACTAGAAAATATCCATGGNAATATCGAAGTTTTGTTTTCAAACTCAATAATTTAAAAAATAATTTTAAATATAAGCATAAATCAAACAAAAGAACCAAAAATAACTGGATGACTAGTAATATCTTGATTTTAATTCGAAGAAAGGAAAAACTATTTAAAAAAAACTAGAAAATATCCATGGGATATTATTTACAAAACAGCATACAACACTATAGTTTCTGAGCTTAAGAATTTAATTAAAACAGCAAAATCAGAATATTTCAAAAACAAATTTTTAAATTATGATTCAAATAAACAAAAATGGGATCTTGTAAATAGTTTTATTGGTAATCAGAGCAAATCACCTGCTTTACCTGATATTTTAAATGACTATGAATCTTCTGATCAATTCAATAAATCATTTGCAAATGCTAACAGTTCCTCAAACCTAAATTCAAACAGTTTTCAAATATATATTTTACCAAGTTTAACCTCATTTGTTTTCCTAGAATCGAATGATTGTGATGTACTTTACTTGATAAATTCTCTTTCTAATAAAAACTCCTTTGACTATGACGGTATTAATGTAAAATTAATTAAACTATTTGCTCTCAATAATATAAATTTTATAACTAATTTCATCAATACCTCAATCAAGTCATCCATATTTCCAACTTCTTTAAAAAGAGCAACCATAACTCCCATTTTTAAAACCATCGATAAAAATTGCTTATCAAACTATAGACTAATTTCAATATTACCTGTTTTCTCCAAAATCATTGAAAAAGCTCTAGCTGATAAAATGTAAAAACATGCAAATTTTTTCTCTGAAAATCAACATGGATTTATTAAAGGCAAAAGTACAGAAAAAGCTCTTTTGGAATTTTCAAAATTTATTCATAATAGTAAATAAGATAACAGTAGCTATTTTTCTTGATATATCAAAAGCTTTCAATAATGTCAATCACAATCTTTTAATCAAAAAATTAGAATTTGCTGGTTTCAGAGGAATTATTTTAAATTGGTTTATTTCATATCTTTCAAACAGAGAACATAGAGTTAAAATCCAAAGTAATTTTAGTAATTATATTTTTTCAAACCGTGGTGTTCCTCAAGGATCTATTCTAGGACCCTTATTGTTTATTATATTCATCAATGACTTTTGTCAATTCAACTTTTTGGTAAGATAATAACATGCTGATGATTCTGTAATTTAGTATTCTTGCACTGAATCAACTAATTTTTCAAATTGAATCTGATTTACGCGTAACTTCAAAATGGTTTACAGTAAATGACTTAAATTTAAATCTAAAGAAAACTAAATATATTTATTTCCGTTTAAGAAAATCAGAATTTAACTTAAATTTAAAATTTCACTCTCTCTCCTGTAAAAGTACTAATGAAAATTGTCAATGCTATATTCTACAATCTGTAAATAATATCAAATATTTAGGACTATATATCGATTCTAATTTGAAATGGAAAACACATATTAACAATTTAGTTAAAAAATTGCATTTTATTTTAGCTAAATTTTATCATCTTAAGAATAAAATTAATTTTAATTTTGTGAAAGCACTCTATTACTCCTGATTTTATTCTTTAATTATGGTGCAATAATATATGGCGGTGAATATAAAACTAATTTACTTCCTGTAATCTCAGTTCAGAATAAATGCTTCAAGATTATTAATTTATTGTTTCTGTAGAGANCCAATATATATACAAGAATTAACCTATTACCATTTCGCCATAATGTATTTTTTCGTATTTTACTCTATTTACACAACAATAAATTAATATGCAAATTAAAAACTAATGTGTCTGAAAGGAGACCAACTGAAATGTATGAGATTCCCTTCTTTACAAAAGAAATTTCACGAAAACATTTTTTTACTTAGCACCTAAATTATACAATAAATTACCATTTCAGTTGCAAAACATCCAAATATATTTTTTTAAGCGTGCTTTATTTCAATTTGTGATGAACATTGACGATTTAGATCTATATTTTTCACTTTAAAGGAAGCATTTGATTTTTTTATACCTGTCTTGTGCCAATCCAAATGAATTTCTTATGTTACCTTTATTATTTTTTTATATAGTTTCATGTATTTTTTTTCTATTCAGTGTTCAGCAATATATGATGTCTTATGATGAGCAAAATAATTTATAATTGTAATATCCCCCCCCCTTCTATTTTTTAAATTTCTATTTTAAATTTATTGTATTACCTTTCTTTGTTGCCTGGACAGGATTTTCCTCTTGGCGACGAATATATATTCTTTGTATTTATGTGTTTCTTTTTTGTTCCCAATAAAGTTATATTTGTGTTAAAAAAAGAAATTTAAAAAAAATATATACTTTTTTAACTGAACATGTAAGAATTTTTTATTCAAATATTATGGGTGATATTCTCAAATTTTGTTGGTGGCGAACGGACAAATTATTTCTTTCTTCACATTTTGTAAATAATCATCGCAATAAAAATACTGAAATCCATAGTGGTAATTGCCGTAGAAAAGATCAAAGACGAAATCACACAAATCAGACTCCTCAAATGCATGTTTCGTTTCCAGATTAGGTTGTATTAAATAATATCGTATAAAAAGTATCAGGTTTAAAAACTATGGGGAAATCAATAGCAATAACTGCTAAAAATTAGATGGAATCAGTGCCTTGTAAAGTAAATACTCAAATGCATGATTCTACTATTTTTTATTGTTTGAAATATATCGGGATATTTAAAAACCATGTGAAAGTCTATATCAATAACTGTCAAAAATTTAATCAAAACATTGCATCGATTTATGATACTATCAGCCTAAATTGAATGCGCACAAAATTTCTTATCTAAATGCATGATTCAAATATTATGTGTAAGTTTCTGCAGAAAATAAAAGTAAATTTTTTTGTTCTTCAAAAGAAAAATCTTTCTACAGGAACTCTGTAACATTCTGCAACAATGTCGCTGCGATTCTGCCACGGGGGATCAGTTATTGTTATAGATTTATACTCAGTTCTTAAAAATCACTATTGGAAAGAAGTAACTTGTTTTTCCCAAAGTATGTAGGCCCTTGACATATCAATATATATCTCTACAACAATATATTAATTTGGTCCCCAAAATATTGTTACGAGGTTTTAGTGTATTAAATAAATGAATAAACTTTGAATTTTTACATTTGTTTGTATTTTGTGAGGATGACCTGAGAAAGAAAAAGATAAAGACTGCTTCAAATAATAAATTTTTCAATGAGTAGTTTTATTTCATTTATATTTGTTTTACTTATTGACTTCAACAATTTAGTACTAAAGGTAGCTTGTTTAAAGAATAAATCATGGTTTAAAAGTTTTTAAAATATAATAATTTGAAAACACAAACCAAAAGAAATATTCTTATTTATTTCATTAAAGATCAGATTAGAAATAAAATTGGTGAGTTTATATATATGCTTATTTTTTAAAGCTTCAACTTAATTATGTAATCCTTTGGAGTTTAATTTCTACAATTTTTTTTCTAGATAACTACTAAATATTCTATTTCTAGTTGGTTTTTGTCCAAATCAAATCTAATTTGGCTAAATGAATTTGATATTCAGTTAAAAGTAAGAGTGTTTGTCTGCATCTTTTTGTGATTCGGTGAAATTCAGAATTTCATTTGGCAAATTTAAATTCCTCTAGGGTCTAAAGTGTATGTTCCTTGTACCCTTATTTAATGACACCCACCTGTTCCAAATTTCAATAGCGTCGACTAAAATCAGAATTATTACTTCATAAATGAGCTTGCTGCTCACCTCCATAGACTCAAGATCTTTCCCGATCTAAACTGTGTCGGGCACGGGGAGGACTCCCCAACCGAATGCTTTGGTGAGATTCTTGCACTCTCATATGCAACTCTTTTGCATTTTGTGAGGTATTCTCGATTACAGGTTTCATTTTCCACCCTGGGAAATTGAACCATAAAATCTCTCGATCTATGATGGTTATTATAATCAAAAAAAGAGTTCTTTGCCAGAAACTAGTTATTTTGTCATGATCATGCAAAGTCTATGAAAATTATTTTGCATTTTGTTAATACATATGGTGCTTACAATATTTTTAGTGCTTAAAAAGTCCTTAAAAGGTGCTTATTTTTTGTTGAAAGATTTGGCTACTCACCCTGAAAAAAATTATGTCAAATGCGAAACTTGTATGGTATATAAATTTTTATAGATTTTTTGAACTCAAAAATTTTAGGACTTTTCACTTAGTGTCACAATTAGTGTCGCTTAGTACATTAATTACCAAAAATTACAGATTTACATAACAGATTTATTTAATTTGTAGCTTTAAAGCAATATTTCATTAGTCTACTTTTTAGGGTGGTTTTTTATTTTGGGAAAATGGCTCAACTTGGGAAATTTTTTATTTTCATTTTTTTTTTTTTGGATCAATTATTGTCAAAATCTTACCTAGTATTCTTGTAACATTTGAAAACATTTTTAACTAGGTTTTCATTTTGTATTTGTCATAGAAGAAAAAAATAAAAAACATTTTCTTAGTTACCTTGTTATTTGTCCCAAAGTATACTTCCTAGTGGGACACCTTGGGACAGTTAAACAGATATGAAGAGTTAAGTAGAAATTTTCTAAAAATTGTGTAACTAAATAAATTTACATTTTCTAATATTGTTAGCAAAGCTTTATTTTGTCAGTTTTAAATTCCTGTATGCAATCCAATTGTTCAGAAGCAAATACCAAACCTAAAGAATGTTCAGTGCTTTGCTCTGTTTCTTTAAATTTTAACAAAATGTCATTTGAATCATTGTATGATTTGTCTTCTTTTTTGGGATAAATAAATGTTGAAATCTCTCAAAAATGATAGCTCGTACTAATCTTCGTCAACTCTTTCAACGCAACCTACAAAAGCAACAACAGATCTTTTACCAACTAATTTGATAAGAGCAAAATCTCCAAACTATCTTGTTTTTGAAAATGAACTTTTTTCTTATCGTTAAATATTTTGTTGTCACTGTTCATTTCATCTAAGCATCATCACTGTTATTGCATAAATCACTAGTGACTGGTTTTCTTCCAAATGCATTTCCAATGCACTCTCTTTTTTTAAAGGAAATAATATGCCAGTTCAGAACGGTCTTACTGATACTATATAATTCAGCAGCTTTCCTATAAGTCATTTACCCTGATAAAACTTGCTTCAGCTTTTTCAACATTGTTAGTACGAACTGCTGTATTATTTTATACTTTTTGCTTCTAATTCTTGTCATTAGTTAATGTTTAATGAGTTCCTAAAATAAGAAATAATAACTATTAATAAACGCAGATTATATAAATTAAGAAATATTTTGCATGCACAATATCTTATTGTTGAAAATCTTTTTTTTAATAAGAATTAATTTTGTATATGTAGTGTGGTCACCTTCATCTGTCCCGAGGTGCACTATATACTTAATATGAAGTTTTAAACTATCATACTTTTAGGCTTAGTATTAGAACAATTAAATTTGATAACTTCTAAACTGAAAGCTTTATACTTCATTATATTATCTTTTATTAAAAATAACTTCATTAAAAATTATTTCTACAACTAATTAAACATTTATATGAAAGTAATGAAACATGCTTCAAAAATAAAAATCTTAATAAATTCTTACCTGCTTAACCAATAGAATCAAAATATGTTCCATGGTTAGGTGATGCTGAAATTTATTTGAATCTAAAAGAACTAAATCAGGGTTCTTTCACGGTCAAGAAAACCTGCAAAAGTCAGGATATTCTAAAATTAAGCTAAAAAGTCAGGATTTTTCTTACATATTCATAAAGTCAGGAAAAAGTCAGGATTTTTCTTACATATTCATAGAGTTAGGAAAATAAAAAAAACTATAGTTCATTCAAAGACTGACAGGCAAAAATAAAGTTTCAAGGAAAAATTCTGTAATTCAAAATATGTAATTTCCTCATAATAACATTCCTCTTTCCCTGGTAGAACCTGTCCTGTTAGCAATTTTCCTCCTGTTTATCCAATGATAAGGAATTTTTGATAGGGTTGCTAGGTTTATTGCTCTTTGTGTGAATAACTGGTTTACAGACAATAGTAGCTGAAACAACAGCAGAAAAATCAAAAAAGGAATTTTTACTGTTTTGTGATGCTGCCAAAAAAAAAAAAGAGCAAAAGAGTTTCTTAGAGTTTAATCCACAGCAAAAGAGATTAGATAATTTTTTTCGAAATATTTGCACGGAGAAAAAAAATGTGAAAATTTGTGGGAGGTTATAAAAATTGTTCTTATCCTCTCTCATGGTAACGCAATAGTCGAAGGGGGGTTTTCAATCAATAAAAGCTTATTGTTTGAATACCTCAATGAAGACTCTATTATTTCACAAAGGTGTATGTATGATTATGTTTCATTTATAAATGGAATAAAATACGTAGACATTAATGAAAAAATGCTAGATACTGTAAAAGGATCTAGAACAAGATGGAGAAGCCAAAAAAAAGAAAAACGAAGAGAATAAAAAAGCTGAAATTTCTAGAAAACGAATAAAAGAAAAGATGATTTGAAATTAAGAAAATCTAAATTGACGAAAACTGCTGCAATGGAACTGGATGTTCTTGATTCAGAACTACAAAATATGTTGAGAAATATTATATAACATAGGAGCCCCTGAGTTTCTCCGGAAGCTTACCGTATTACAGAAATAAATTTGAAAATACTGAAAAAAGAAGATATTTTTGATTTTATTTTTTTCACAAGTTGCATAATTTTTCTATTTGAATTTTTATTTGTATATAATTAACTTTTCTTGACTTTTTTCCCCTTTATATTTCAATATTATCTTTTAAAAGAAAAGTCAGTTTGAAGTGAATTGGTGATTTTTAAAAATTAATAACTTAATGTTACAAATGTTCTTGTATGTTTTAAGAGTAAATATTATTTGAGGATACTGATACATATCTCGCAGATTTGATTAACCCTTTATATCCTGACGACGCTCATGCATTTGGTTCCACTTAACATTAAATAAAATACTTCCATAATCCAACAGATTTTCTTGATCTTTTTAATTTAAATAGTTTTCATATCTAACTACAAAAACACACTAAAAGTTTAATCTAATCATGATAATTAAAAATATGTTTCACAATTTTTCTGAAAATATATTTTGGGATAAAGTGCTATATCCAATTTCACTTTAATATATAAGTGTCTATCTTATTCAATATATGATACTTATGACTAAGTAGCATATTATTACTAATTGAAACTGCAATGTTAAAAGCTTTGTTGGAGTGGGAAACGGCGGGTCAGGAATTTTATAGTAAAAGGTCAGGAAAAACCTGCAAAATTCAGGATATTGTTTTCTCAAAATAGTGTAGGAACCCCGTAAAAGATAATTTAAAATTTAAGGCCAAAAATAAAAATGTCCCAAGGTGAGCCATTCTCCCATGCTATTTTACATTAAGCAAGCATTCAGTTATATTTTTTACCTTCTTGCAAGTACATTAGGAAATTCCTATTTCAGAAATAAATTGTTATAATTCAATAGTTTTAAATCAAAGTAGTTTTTCTAAATGACTATGCATAATTAAATTTTTAACTCTCGTAATCAAGGAAATTCACAACTCACTTAGAATCTGATTTATTTTTTACTCAGTGAACCAGTTTTTTTTTATATTTTAATTTAATATCTTTTTAAAAAAATTTCATTTGGAAAAAGTAGGAAAAGTCAAATTTTTAATGCTTCTAAAATTAAAGTATAGTGAATGAAAGAAATTTGATTTAAAAAAATCAGAAAATGTAATCAAAAGAATAGTATCAAGTGCTAAAACATTATTATAAGTTTTCTTTTTACCAGCTGGTCAACTTTCAAAAATTTTTCCTTCTAAAATTTGATATATTTTGCTTGTTCCATTTCTTAATTTTATCATTTTCTTTCAGATTTGATTTAAGGTGCAACAGGGTGAGTAGAGTTTTTAAAAAGTGCTCATTGGTGCTTATTTTCAATTTTCGTTTTTGAAAAGACCGTAAAACTGCTTTTTTTTATTGGATATTTTTAAAAAGTGCTTAATTTTCCCTTTTTGAAAATGAAATTTTTTCTATACCATGTCGATTTTTGCCATGTATTATGCAAAAGCGTGATTTTCTCATTATTCTATTCAAAGTTTTCCCAAATGATTGAACCACAATCTATTTCGGTGTACTCTCGGTTCATAACGTATGAAAGCGCCAATCATTTTACATGTTTGATTAAATACTTGCGAGTCCTCTTGTGCATCTACTCAGCTGAGTTTCGATGAGATTATTGCACTCTTATGTGCAACTCTGCTGCATTTTGCAAATTATTCTCAACTTCAGTCCTCATTTCCATCCTCTGATATCGAGTCAAAAAATCTCTTGATCATTTTATAATGACTAATGTAATCAAGAAAAGAGTTCATTTTCAGAGACTAGTTATTTTATCGCTAGTTATTTTATAGACTAGTCATTTAAAGTCTTTAAAAATTATTTTGCATTTTGTTAATGTATATAGTGCTTAAAAATATTTTTAAATGCTTAAAAAGTGCTTATTTTTTGTTGAAAGATTTGGCTACGTACCCTGTGTAAAAAGTTTCATATTCAGGGGTGATTGTGTTCCTGATTTCTGGATCTTTCGCTAACTGCGATCCGAAAGTTTCCGAAAATCCAGAGTCCAGATGTTTCAAGAAATCATCAATCACATATATTTATAAAAATTCTTGTATATTTTATATAAAAATATTAGAACTAGAATTTATACTTGGCATCTTTTTCATTTGTAAATATTTTTTTCTATTAGAATGATAAATGTGATTAGAAATAAAAGTAAACTTACACATTATTATTCATTTAAATTATGCTGCATATAATTCATTTAGAATATCATGTTTTGAAAATTTCAATTATTTAAATTTATAAAGATATTAATTTTTTGAATGATTTTACTCAGAAATTTTCAAAATTTTTGAGTTGGGCTGGGCCCACAATCATCCCTGCATATTATATCTTATAATATTGTCCAGGTTTCCTTATTTTTATTGCACATGATACTTGCATATAAAATAGTATTTTTTAAAAATTAAAAAAAGAATAAAAAAGACAACAAATTGAGATATTTATTGGTGCCTGAAATATGTTTGTACTGAATTGAGTAGATATAATCAGGGATGAGATTTTTCCGCTTGTTAGATGATTTCCGCTTTTTTTCACTTTTGTCTCTCAAAATTCAGCCTTTTTATTAAAAACTGTGATTCTCTAAAAGTTTAGCTTTTTAATTATAAATATTTCGCTTTTGTGTATCCAAATTCAGCCTTTTAAACGAAAACTTCGATTCTCTAAAAGTTTAGCTTTTTTTTATAAATATTCTGCTTTTTCTGCCGTTGAAAAAAACTAAATATATTTATTTCCAATTTTTAAAGATAAACAGAAAATTCGAACAACATAACTATTTTCTCCGCTTTTACTCACAGAAGATAGATTTCCTGAATTTTTACCCACCCACCGGATAGCTCGTATTTTTGTAATTCAACCGACGCTGAAGCCTGGAATATGCAAATATCTCGATTCTTTATCACATGATTTTCTATCACCAATTATTAGTATATTTAGGCATTACAATATCAGCGAAACATGAGGAGAATATACTCAAAACTTACATTCTGTACTTGCAAAGAAGAAAAAGTAGGATTCGTCAAAAGATGTCTGAAGACGGGCTAACAACTAAATTAATCACCAATTTGTTTGCAGGGTTGCTACTCCACAGGGAGAACAGAGAAAACCTGGAAAATGCAGGGAATTTTGATTTTTTCTTTGCATACTGGGAAAATACAGGGAATTTTGTTTCTTATTTTTGTTTCCTATTATCTCTTGTTTCTTATTATCTTTTGTTTCTTATTATCTTTTAAAAAATGGTGACCACTCAATGTGTGATATTTAACCATGATATTTCAGCTATACTAAACAATATAGCTCACACAAGAGCACAGTAATTGTTGTTTCCACTTAATATATTGTGTATAATATGTACAGGGAATTTTTATTCCAGATTTGAGTGGTTACCCTGATTTGTGTCAGTTTTGCTATTACTACAAGAATATATAAAACTTTTCCCAACTGAAGCAACCATCATTCACAAGCTGCATTATGCACAATTTGATCTTGTTAGAGGACTTTTTGCTTGCTTTGTGAAACATGAAGCATTTTCAGAAATCGGAAATTAAACACAAAAAAAAGGATATAGTGAACGTAAAAGATATAGCAAACAAAAGTAATCATTTAAAAAGTGATTAAATTTTTTTTTTGTTGAAAAAAGAGTTAATTAACTCAGCACCAAAATCCAAAATTTAAAAAATAATGTTGTGCGTATAATGTATTTATGCAATAAAATGAAAAATAATTATCTGAACAGTTGCTGGAGCATTAGAAATTTTCGTATGTTAAGGAGTTAATATATATTCCTACTTTACAGTTATTGATATGTTTCACACGGCTCTGGCTAGATTACATTTTAATATGAATATAGTGATTCCAATTGTAAAAATTTATTTTATTTTCTAAATAATTTAAAAAGTCACTTTACTGATATATTTGCTGTAAATCACGTAACAGTATTAATTAAAAGAAATGGAATGTTAATGTATGTTCTCAGTAGTTTTAATTTAATATTTTTAAAAAACTTTTATTTATTAATTTTTCTTATTTTCCCTAAAAAAATTTTTGTCTTGTATTTTATCCCTACATTATACACATAAATTTAGTAATACATATATATATGTATTACTAAAATTTATTAAAATTCTTTTTTTTTTTTATCCTTTTTGTGCTGTATGTATACAGTAGAATCCTGATTATCCAAGTTTCCACTTTAACCGAGCTATCACATATTTCAAGGATTTTTGTTGTTGTTCTATTTTATTTTTAAAACTACAGCCAAAAAAAAATCTGAATTTTATCTTCCCGACACTCAAGAAAACGATATTCAACAATTTGATCTGGTGAAATGATCGTTAATATTGTCAATAGTGAAAAATGAATCTCGCGAAGATGATGAAGACAGTTAGGATGAAAATCAACATATAAAAATCTCTCATGCAGATGGACAGATACGGATTTATTTTTAAAAGCTATCGAACATGCTATTGGATATGTAGAATGACAAAAAAAGTCAGCACTTGCCTTCCTGTTATCTCTAAAAAAAATGATGAAACATTGCTGCAGAAAAGTAATGTAAAACAAAAAAGGACTTTTTTGAGTAAAAACTCTTTAATTTTCGTAAAGTATGCTCTTAAGTTTCATTATAATCTGAATTGTATGTAGTGTACTCATATAAATTTTGTCAAAAATATTAACCCTACTCTTTTTCTTACCTTTTTTATACTCGCTTTAACAGAGTTAGTTCACATTTACTCGAATAATTGGGACTCTACTGTACCCCAGGCAGAAACGCGGCTACATTGTTGCAGAACGTTATAGAGTTCATGCAGAAAGATTTTTCCTTTGAAAAATAAAAAGCATTTACTTTTCTTTTCTACAGAAATTTGCAACGCAATCTTCTTAAATATTATGTAAAATTACCTATGAATTGTGCATTTGAGTATTTACTTCATGGTGCGTAGCGTTTTTAAAACGTGCTTAAAAGTGCTTATTTTCGTGATTTAAAAACTTTTAAAAGTGTTTTTTTTTCATTGGGCATTTTTAAAAAGTGCTTAATTTTCCCTTTTCAAAAATTAGATTTTTTTTCGTAACCATGTTGATTTTCGACACGTATTATGCAAAAGCGTGCTTTTCACATTGTTCTATTCAACGTTTTAATAATTCATTTCGGCGTACCGTCGGTCCTTAGCGTCTGAAAGCGGCAATTATTTTACATGTTTGATGAAATACTTGCGAGTCCGCTTGTGCGTCTATTGAGCTGGGTTCGGAGAGATTATTGCCTTCTTATGTGCAACTCTGCTGCATTTTGCAACATATTCTCAATTACCACCCTCTGATGTCAAACCGAAAAATCTCTCAATCATTTTATAACGGCTTATTTAATTAAGAAAAAAGTTCTTTGTCTGAAACTAGTTATTTTTTCATTATCATCTAAAGTCTTTGAAAAGTATTTTGCATTTTGTAAATGCATATAGTGCTTCAAAATATTTTTTGAGTGCTTAAAAGGTGTTTATTTTTTGTTGAAAGATTTGGCTCTACACCCTGTACCATGATTCTATTGAATTTTCAGCAGTTATTGCGATTGATTTCTCCTTAGTTTCTAAATCCGATATTTTTTATACAATATCATTTATTACTTACCACAATGACCTGATCTTGAAACACACACTTAAGGAGTCCAATTCGCATGATTTTGTCGTCGATCTTTCTTTAGGCAATTACTACCACAGATTTCATGATTTTTAATTACCGTATATTCCGGGGTATAACGCGCACTTCTAATACAAAAAGTAACATTGGAATTTTCAGGTGCGCGCTATACGCCGAATATAAAAAATTTTATGTTCGTCTTCCGTTATTTCTTCAGGCACGTCATCACAGTCTGTGTTACCCTCATCCATAAATAAACAGTCATCGTCTGATCCGTCCAGATTATTTGAAATGCCGCATTTTTTGAATGATTTTCTAACCATCTCAGGCTTAATTTCATCCCATACTTTTAATATCCATTCGCACACTGTTTCCAAACTTGCATGACGCATATGTCCTCCTTTCGTAAAGGTTTTCTTGCCCTCCAACATCCAAGTGTTCCGCTGTTTTTTTAAATTGGCTTTAAATGGTTTGCTTAAGCAGACGTCCAATGGCTGAACTAATTGTGTCAATCCGCCCGGAATAACTGCCATATCGGTGTTACATACTTTCAAAAATTTTTTTGTATTATCTGTAAGGTGGGACCAAAACATGTCCCACACTAAAAGGCTTTCTGGTTTTCTATAGATACTAGGCGAGATATTGCACATGTACAATCCAAATTTTCATGCGCGTTATACGAAGAGTATATCTTAAAATTTAAAAAAAGTTATTGGAAATTAAGGGTGCGCATTATACGCTGGGGCGCGTTATGCGCCGGAATATACGGTATGTTTAATATTGTGATGAATAGTTACTAATTACAAAATGCAAAGAAGGAAATAATTTGTGCGTACCCCATAAAAAAAATTTAGAATATCCCCCATAATAATAGAATTAAATATTATTACATGTTCAATTGGAAAAAAAATCATTTAGTTTTTTTAAACACATCTCTTTTGTTATTTTAAATTAGTAACATATATGTTTGTTATCCTTAAAAGTATCTTGCAGAAAGATATTAGTATTAGAGAGGTATGTCCCAGAAAGCTCGAAAAAAGTCTGCCACAGGGACTATATATATATATGTATAATCACTCCCTTATTATTACAGAATCGATTATGGACTTTTTTTTTACTGATTCTTTTTCAATGCTTCACAGTACCTGAAGCTAAAATAATGGAAGGTCCAGATACGTATGCGGAAGTAGGAAGTTCCATTAACCTAACATGTGTTATTGCCCAGAAGCCCCAGCTTATGTATTCTGGTACAGTCACAGTTCAGAAATGTGGCCGAAATACTGCAGTCAGTAGGCTCAAGATCAGGGATGCACAACCGACAAATTCAGGAAACTACATTTGCTCTCCTACGAATGCGGGTGCAGTCAGTTCCATTGTATATGTGGTCAAAGGTGAGAAATCTTACTCTTAATACCCTATCTGTAGTCCATGCCTAAAAACAGAATCCGCAGTAAACATTGAAAGAAAATTGCGATGCAGAATTCCTTTTTATTTAATTTTTTCAATTTAATTAAAGATTTTCTCTTTTCGGAATTCTTGAAAAAGATCTGTTTTTTGTGCTTTTTAGTGTATATGCCAAAACAATTTAAAATTACTTTCGGGCGATTTAAAATCACATATTGTAATTTGTATTCTTCACAATATTTTAAATTGAAAACCATGATCTATATTCATGGGAGTTTAAATTACACATCACAATTCATATTCCCATGATTTAAAAATCTCACATTAGGATTTGGATTTATCCAATTTAAAATCAAGATTTTTTATTTACACTATATAATAAAGAGTCTCTTTATTTAAAGGTTATTGATATTCTGTGGAAATATGTTTTCTCCTTGCACTTTTTAATTTTTTGTTCAAATTTATGTATTTTTTCAATTATTTAAAAATTGTTTTGCATTTAATGCTTCTTTGGTTTTTTACTTTTCTTATCCAGGCTATTAATGTCATATTTGTTCTGAGAGCATTTGATTCTCTGATTTGGCCGATTTTAAAAACCGGAATAACTGCATTAAGGAAAAAAAATTCTAAAGTAAACATTACAAATTGATTAACAGTTAAATTAATTATTACATTTTGTTTTTACCAATATTATTTTAATTTGACATTTTAAATAAACAGGAACTACATTTGTTAACTTACAGAAGGGTTTTAAAGTAAATAGCTTTTCCGAGTAGCAAAATTTAAGTTTAAAGTTTTTGTAACTTTCAATATTTCTTTCTTCTTTTTTTTTTAAGCCACTAAGTTCATTTCAAGCAAATTTTTAACATCTATTGTCGGTAGATCATTGACACTGAATGATATTTATTCTGCAACTTTTCTTAATTTATGAACAGTTTTCGTTTTTTACACGCCCTGTTTCCTAACTTATTAACTAAGAAGTATAATCGACACCTGTAACTTTGGCAGTAGGGTGTTGAAATAAATTTATTATCCACATATTTTCAAAACTTAAGAAAATAGAAAATTTTAATTTTCTGAAAGAAAAAAAAACGAACAAGGTTTTTCATAATTTTAAATGTATACAGTACAAAAAGTTTAATTTTATAAAAGGAGGATTTTATTGTGCTTTGGTATTAAAATGTTTCTGTTCTCCAAGTTTAATTTTAAATTGTGATTGATTTTATAATCCAATGATTTTTATAGTGGCCACACAACAATATTTATAAAAAATAATAGTAAAATAAAATCAAAATAGTTATGTACCAATTTTCTATCTAGTCTGCTACCAAAACTGTATACAAAAGCTGGGCCTGACATTCTTGGATTATCAAAAATTAAACCCAGCGTTTTAAAATACATCCATTTTGGATGCATTTTAAAATGCTGAGTTTAATATGGCATTTGTAAATTTGAATTTTCAACAATATAATTTCATTTATAAATTTGATAAATTCACATTAAATACAATTATAAATTTGAATTTTAAAATATATCCATTTGGTATAAACACATTTATTCAACGATGTTTTTATTTTACTGTACAGACCACTTTTTCTGACTGGGCATTTTTGAATTTTCTATAGTTTCAGTAATTCTCTTGTGTTCTTTTTCAATTGTTTAATTAAACATAGGCTTAACACTTAACCCCTTCCTTTTCTTTCCCGTGAAAATGATGGGGTGAAGTTTCGCATTCTATTTCTCGCTCCTGTGATATTGACAGGCTGGAGTGTTCAGTAGTAACGCACCTATAAGAATAAAACTAAAATTATTCTTTTGCCTGGAAAACATTTTATTTCTCATTTTACTCACCAGGTGGCAGTACCAAGATATTTTTAAGGTAATTGTGGAAGAGATGAAAACAATAAGAGATGTAGGAAGGAAATCCGGTTGTGACGTTGGCCTCTGTATCTCATGCTTTGAAATTTATCACACAAGAAAAAATTACGAATCTTTATTTATATTATGCTAAAGTTTAATAAAATTCTTTTTTAATGTTTAAAACACATATTTTTTAAATTTTCCTTGCTTACTGGAAAACCAACATTAAGTCATAGTTAGCTTTTCCTAAAAATTAAATTTTTTAAAATTTCAAGCTAAAAACAAATTAAAAATGACTGTATATATATTGTTCATACACATATTTTTATATAATTTTCAGGGATAAAAAAAAATGATCATTAAGGGGTTAAATGTGATAAATTAGGTAAAATGTTTTAATGTTTGTCATAATATTCATTTCAAAAAATTTTTTTTCTCACATTATTATAAATATTTGTGTAAATACCTTTCATCACTCAGATAAAACATTAAAAAAAAAAACTTTTAGAAAAAGTTTTTCCAATTCTGACTTCAAAATTTCCTGTTTCCATAACCCTGGTTAATTCACTTGAATGTGCATTTTAATTTTTTTTTCTTTGAAATTCACCCTGACATTAATTTTTTTTGGAGAGTTTTTTTGCAGCAGAATCTTGCCATGAAATCCAGTGCAAATTCCACAGGTTTTTGATAAGTGATAGCTTTACAGCAAGTGCTAATTGCGCACAATAAATTGCATGGGGATGCAGAGTACAAAACACCATGTACCAGTGCTCAATGATACCACAATTCATGTCACATCAGTTGCTATTCTATTCTAAATTTTTGTGATGTGCAGGGTATCTGCTCACCTGGAAAGTCATGAGAAATCTTGGAAAGTCATGAATTTGGTATTGAACAAAATTTGTCATGAAATTTCATGATTTTAACTATTTTTTAAAAAAAATTATGGAAAGTCATGGATTTAGGTCGCTGAAAAATCTAATTTTTAAAATGGAATTACCCCCCCCCCAATTTCATGGTGTTCTGTATATCTGAATTTGTAACAAAATCTCCGCGCATAGTCTTAAAATATAAAATGTTTTTATCATGTTCTTTTAAAATTATAGTGTTCTTTAAAAAAATGAAAGAAAAAACATCATTTCTAGAGCAAATTATCTTTTAAATTTCTGTGATTTCAGAATTTTTGTTATTATTTTTTTAAATTTTATTTCGAAATGAGAACAGAAAAATCAGAAGCATTTCTTTCCTTTCCGAGGAACCAAAAAAGTATTTGGAATATAATTCTACAGAAAAGAAGAAGATAAATTATTTACTTTTGTATTTTTTTTCCAGCTATTTTATTGCTTAAACTCTTTCTTTACTCTGTTTTTTAAATTTAAAATCTATAAATATGAAGATGCAGAGTATAATAGTTTTGATTATACCTATCATTTCAATTAAGTTATTATAATGCTTTTTTATATTTATTGTTGTGTTTTTGTCGGAGAAAATAGTAACTTCGTTAAGTCATAACAAATTCTTCGAATTAGTCATGGAAAGTCATTAATTTGAAAATCTTAAATGTAGCAGATACCGTGTAGGTATCATGTTAATATTTGTCAGTGTTAAATGCAAAATGATGTATGTATGCTCAAATAATTATAGGAGAGAAGCAGGTGGTGGTTCGAAATATCGAAGGGTCTGCAACACAGAATTGCTGTGGCTTTTACATCAGCAACCTTCTTCTTTATGGAATGCTCTTATACCTTTTATAAGAAGATGACCAGCTTCACTATAAACACTCAAAAGAGTAAGAAACATTTTTCATTTTATTTTTGTAATGGCTGAAAATTTAACATTGTTATTGAATTTAAGGGAAAAAAAACTATTAAAGAGCTGCCAACTCTTCTGCATTGTGTGAAAGTTTCCTGTCTTCTGCACTGAGATTAAAATCTTCTGTATTTTAAAATTGTACATTAAAATTTTGTACCATCTTTAAACTACGTAGGAATGCACATACATGTGTGGGAATTGTCTATCTTGCCTCGCAAGTATTTTAAAAAAATTTGAGAAATGATTATAAGTTCTATTTAAGGATCACTAACAAACATAGTTGCAGATAAATAGACTTCTTTGTAGCTAGAAAGGCATTAATAATTAAAACTTTAAAATATATTCTAAAAGTTGTAAATCCAGCAAATTAGAAAACAAAATCTAGCTGTACGCTTGGCTTTTTGAAAAATAGGAGTTGGGCGGTATACACTATATTACAAAATAAAATTCTAAGTGACATTTTATTAAGTTTGAGTAGAAAGTAATGTTAAGTCTTTACATTGACATTAGGAAGTAAAGTTTATGCCTTACCTTTATTTCCTGTCCTGCAGCTTCCAATTGACAAAATTTTTGTAAATTCCTAACATAAGTTTTAACTATTCAGTTCTCAGCCTTTATTCTCTTGGCATATTAATTTGCTGCAATAAAATAAACTTTTAATGGATCTCTGTTAGTTGCCAAATACACTTGGAATTTCTTCAATTCTGTAAAAACTCTTAGATGTCAATTAGTGCCTTCTTCCTCTGAGATTTTCAAAATTTAAAGATCACTAATTATAAATTAAATTAATGTTATACAGTTAGGTAAGACTTAAATAAGTTCTTTCCCTGAAAAATCTCAATTTCATTGAAAGTGTAGCTTAGAACTGTTCTTACACTAAGTTATTCAATTGAAAGAATTATGAAAGTTTCTTCATTGGTTTTTTTCAGCTTTCAATTGACAAAATTTTATTCTCTTGGTATATTAATTTGCTACCATAAGATAAACTTTTAATGGTTACTGATTCACTGTTAGTTGCCAAATCTGCTTGGAATTTCTTCAATTCTGTAAAACTCAAAGATTGTCAATTAGTGTCTTTTCCTCTAAGATTTTCAAAATTTAAAGATGACAAATTAGAATAATAAATTAAATTAATGTTATATAGTTAGGTAAGACTTAAATAAGTTCCTTTCCAGAAAAATCTCAATTTCANCACTAATTATAAATTAAATTAATGTTATAAAGTTAGGTAAGACTTAAATAAGTTCTTTCCCTGAAAAATCTCAATTTCATTGAAAGTGTAGCTTAGAACTGTTCTTACACTAAGTTCTTCAATTGAAAGAAGAGTTGAAATAAGCTTTTCAAACTTATTTCTATTTCAATCCTTAATTTTACTTAGTTTAAAAAGCCTTAACGCTTTTATATAAAATATTATTTAATAGTTTAAATACTAAGTTATTGTCAAACATGAGGATGTTATATGCACTTTGTTATGTGCTTTAAATGTTCGCTATTTATGCAAAAATACCTTTCTATTTTTAAAAATAATCTAGAATAATTTTTGTTATTGCATTTTAAGACGTCAGATTATATTTAACTATAAACTTATAAAACAATTATCGGAATAGCAGTCACATCTAATCACTTTATTATGAAATATGAATTATGTGACTTATTAGTTTGAATTATGTGATTTAGACTATGTAAAAGTTACTAATCATTACATGATTAAGACTATTAATTTGCCGTGTGTAAGTAAACTGCATTTTGTTTCAAAAATATTTCATAAAATCATTAAAAAATGCTTTAGAATTTCTCCTAGTATTGTTGTAGTCTACTGAACAAAGTATTTGACAATTTGGAGCGTGGGGGCTAAATTTGCCCTTGTGGCCACTTTCCAAATTTTAGGATGATGCATTCAATCATTCTTTAGTTATGAGAGAGATAAACAGACAGACAGGTAAACTCTTCCTTTTATTATTATAGATAATACAAAGTATAACCCTTTTTAAAAGAACTCATACCTGCCAAGTCTCCTGTTTTGCAACGAAGACTCCTGTATTTTACGACTATCTACTGTTTACCTGCATATTCTCGAATTTCCCTGTATTTATTGAAGAATTTAAAAAAGAAATGTTTAATAGAATATTTATTGATGGTAACAGTACTTCTCTTATTCATCAACAGAGGGTGCTAATGCCAGTACTGCAGTATGTTGAGTGTTAATTGTTTAACTTGAGCCGTGATGGCTCAAGGGATAGAGCGTTCACCTTCTAATGAGGTAAACCCAGCTTTCAATCCGAGCAATGACTGGTCGATACGCATTCCGCATCTGGCTGGCACCAACCACAGTTCTGACGTGAAATATCCTCAGTGGTAAACGTATCACGAATTAGATTCCCCTTCCCTGATGGGAGGTTCTCGTGGTCTCACCTCCATCTAACTCAAATGCGGGTTAATCGCATCAAAAAGCCCTCCTTAAACGCAAATTTCTCCCACTACTTGATCCACGGGTTCCCTTGTCTACTGGATTAGGTACAAAATAGTAAGGCTACAAAGTTGAACATCACTAGTCATTAACCCAAAATTGGGTCGGTTAGTAAAATCTTTGTTACTTTATTTCTCCTATGTTGGCAGGTATGAGAACTGTCTTAAGGACCTTCCTAACATATAAATATATTGTTTAAATTCAAACATGTATTACTTAATCCTTAACATGCAAATTTATTATTTAAACATATTTTTTATATGAAGTGTTTTCTTTTTAAAGGGTACAGAATTGAGCGGTGGAGAAGTAGATCTATGTCATCCCTCACTGTTTTCCCCATTTTGGAGATGATTTCCTTTCTTGTGGATTATCAGTGCAGCATTTATTAGATAGTATCATCCAATTTTTGACTGGGGTGTTTTCACATTGTCTCAAGCAAGGAAAGTTCCAAACAATTTTATTTCCATCTAAAGAAAATCTATATTTCACATCCAAACTAATAATAGCATTAAGAGTGTTCAGAAGATATTCCAAAATAATTGGCAATTCCTGTTTGAAATTTTTTTTTTTTTAAACTACGGGGGAGGCCTATGCAAGTTGACCACTTTGGTACAACAATTTGATGTTCCACTTCGGCAAGTGACCTATTTATAAAATGGCAATTTATTTGTTTTTTGACTGTCTGAAAATTGACGGTGATAGATGACCAACATGCAAAAGTGGTTGACTCAACAGGTTTTACTGTGTATTATATATATATATAAACTGAAAGTAACGAAAGCAGAAATAAAAAAAATGTCGACTGCAGGTTTTCTGTCATTTAATCACACCATACAATAAAAGATCTTAATGCAAACCCTAGAAACTTGAGGCTTTGCATTATATAAATCATTTAACATTCCATTAAGTTTAACTTATTAAACCTTGCAATGTATATCTGCAATAGATCAATATTTAAGTATTTATAAAATAATTTATAGATTTAATTAAGTATAATAATATTCTTAGTTGCAGAAAAAACTGAAACTATCAAGAGCATTCAGATTAACGACAAAAAAATTATCAATTTTGGTTTGGTTTAGAAACTTGTAACCTTTTAGTAAATATTTTTTTCCTTACAATCTGAGAACCGTTAATGGTTCTTGCTCATCTCCAGAAATAACTTAAGTGTTATTTTCATTGTTTATAACTGTGGCTCATGGAGAAATGTGATTCATACAATTTTGTTATATAGATGTGCTACAATTGTTTAGTTCCTATTTTAAAAAGTTACAGAAAGATTTTGAAGTCTGTAAAAAAATATTTATTTTACTGATTATTTTTTAAACGCTTTATTTTCTTGACTTAAAAAAATGCCACACTTTTTTCTTCTTTTTTTTTTATTATTATTATTTATTACAATATTTCTGTTATTTTCCTAAGCTCTAATCGCTAATTTAATTTAATCAGTGAGTTTATTTTCTTAATTCAAACACTTAAACAGTATAACATCAATAATAAATTTTGCTTTGTATTTTAGTTTATTTGCAGAAAGTATTATGCCACTGTAAGATTGCCATCAAACTCCATATTCAATCTACTCCAATTAAAATTATCTCAATTATTACAGAAATATTGACCCTTTAACTATGTAAAAGCATGAGTACAAGTTGGATTCCTAGTATTGATAAGAATTTTCTGTAGTTTTTTCTTAAATTAAAGTAATAGGGCTAGTAATGCTTTTAAGAATAGTATCACATAACTTTCCTATTTTGAAGTAAAGAAAGTGTTCTGAAATTTTCTATAAAAATAAGCAACTCTAAAGTAGATTTAGTTAAATGTTACTTTCAAGTAGTGAATATTTTTTAAAAAATAATCTTGCTTTAAGGAAAGAATAAGTGTTTTAATTGCTTATTTTTTTATGTGTTGAATTTTTTAAAACTTGAATGCAACCCATGTGAACTCATTAGCATTTGTGGTACAAAAAAAAACTCTTGGTTTGTGCATTACATATGTAATATAGGTGTAAAGTAGATGGTATTTGATGAAATTTTATTATCAATGAAACAATTTTATTGCAAACTGATTTAAGTTTGTAAAATTTTATGCTTGTTGTGTGCATGTAATTATCAATCCATTGATAGATGTTTTACGATAACTTATTAAATGGTATATATATATATTTAATACTCGTTTACAAAAAATATTTTACACATGCAGCAAATGTAACACATTACCTGTCAGAAAACTTCTTACACATATATGTGATTATGGAGAAGGAATATTCAGTGTGCCAATTTAAGTAGTGATGATGGTGTGGAAGGTGTGGGTGGAAGTTTGTATAGTATAGCAATTGAAGATTGATGCTGAAATCAGAAGATGATGAAAATAACACTTGAAAATGAAAACCGGATCATATAAAGCTTTTATTTAATATATTTGCACAGCTTAAGATACCCAAATATAAATATTATCCCTAAGAATTTCAGTTTAATCAATTTTGCATAATAATATTCATAAGGACATGCCATGGGAGACAAATCCCCCACGACCTGCCTAATCAAAAGCCAAATTTTAAAAGTATGTGTAATTTGTTCCCAATGGACACAGAAGCATGGATAGGAGATCCACAATTGGCGATTTATAGCATAGCCAAAACAAACCCAACCAGCATATCAATATAGAGTTAAAATAATACCTTGGCGATCATGAGTCGCCGACAAATTTATGGGAATTATTACAACCATGGAACTGAAACAGTTTTGTGGTTAGAAATTTAAAATGAAAAGTTATAAATAGATTTTTGTTTTCGATTAGGCGGACAGTGAATTAATAAGTCTGCCTAGTAATGAAATAAAAAGTATCCGTTACATTGATCTACAAGAGAAGAATAAATATTTTATGTTCGTTTTAAAAGATTAAGTCTTTGTTTTATTTAAATGTAATTCTATTAATAAAAAAAAAGCTTAAGTAATGAAAGGTATTTTAAAAGGATAGAAAATAAATATGTAATGTATACAGATTCCATAATTATATGCACGGATGACGTCACTTACGTTATCTGAAAATAAAATATCTGTTGCCAACACACTACCGAAACTTAATACTGTCAATTTAATGTATTCAGAGGAGTAACAAACCACTCCAACACAATAGTTACTAAAAAAATCGGTACTTTATACTAAAATATAAAATCCAAATACAAAATATTCAGTCATACTTCAAAAATGTGATCTTATAAATTACCTGTAACATCGGAAAATTAAGATTGATATTTAATAATGGTCTTAAAAAGATTTCTACCCTCCACCTCAGCATTTGGAAAATTCTGAAGCAAACTAAGGGAACTATTTGAACTGTTAATTTAATTCTTTAAATTTTGTTCTATTGAACCTAGTCACAAAATTTTACTCAAATATTTAAAATTAAACTTTAAGTAACTTTAATAGTCTAATTTTTAAATACAAAAGCTTTTTAAATTTGGAAACTAGGTGTAAAAAGAGCTTTCACTGAAGAAAAAGAATGACATAATATAACGGAATTTAGTTTGTTAACCTATCAATACGACGAAGGCGAACGTTTTATTCCCTGAGCTGTCACGGCTCATTGCTGGTTATTTTACTTTATAGCTGTCGGTGAACAGCCGACCCAAATTTGAGTTTACAGCTACCAATCTTCAACTCTGTAGCCTTGTAATTAAGAACTCAATCCAAAAGACAAGGAAACTCTTGGATCTAGTATTGAGAGAAATTTGGTTTCATGGAGGACTTTTTGATGGAACTAACCCGCCTTTGCGTTACATGCAGAGGAAAATTTCCCAAAGTTAGCCTTACGACAAGAGGACTCTAACCCATGATCCATCTATCATTGAGGATAAATTACGTAACAATACAGGTTATTAGGGAGAATGCAATTACCATTATAAAATCAGGAGGAAAAATAACCTTACTATAAAGATATTTTTATAGTAGTTTATTGACGATACGTTATACATGAAATAAGCTTTCGGAAAGTTTAAATGTGGTTTGATTTATAGATAAATTCATGAAATTAACAGAATGTTTTACTTATGCATGTTTCTAATGTAGCGTACTTTTTATTTATTTATTGCATTTTAAAGTTTTTGTTTATAATTGTCAGAATGATTTTAATAGAAATTCGGCATTGTTTTTCTTTCACCCATGAGTATTTTGACAGTTCTAAAAGACAAAATAATTTTCGTATTTCTCCCCCTTATGACAGGAATATGAAAGCCTTAGTTTAACCTTCAGTTTTAAATTTAATGATGTTGAGTGAATTTTAAAACTGAGTTAAAATTGATATATCTTTAAGTGTTTTTTGTAATTATAAGTTCATAAATTTAAAATAGCATGTGTTGGAATTTCAAACTTTTAATGGTTCAGGGTCCCATTGAAAACTTTAAATCTTATTGCTAAGTATGACAAATCGCATGAACTAAACATCTCTAAAGTTATTAAATAATCTTTTAAGTATTTCTTGAGAAATTTAAAAAAAATGTCAAAAACGGAAAGTGTCTCTTCGATTATTGTAGGGTTAGTGTGTATGGCCCTAAATAAATTTCTATTAACCCATAGCTTTTACACTCGTTCAAGTGCTATGTTAAAACGCAACAAGTCAGACAATCAAGTCACAAACTGCTGGTACCGAAGGACCGGGGATCAATACCTGGACGTGATCAATATTGAAAAACCTTATTTAGCAAACAAAAAATTTGTGTATTTATTTTAATAAATTGAAACGTATACTTAAAAGTATTATTTTTAAAATATATCTCTATATTTATAAGTAGTATTTCTGAGTGCGTTAATTACAATGTTGCTTAAATACTGTATGTATAAATGGTTCTATATCTCCCCTTATGATTATTTTGCAATTTTCAAACAAGGTCAAGTGTTAAATTATAACATACCTAAAGGAAATAATTATAGATCTAGAATAGGGGTTAGAATGTATGTGTATATTTCTTAGTGCGTAAAATAGCGTTCAATTGGAAAAATTGTTGCTCATATATGATATTATATCTCCCCTTAATATAAACCTAGAACTTTCAAACTCGGTTGGGTGTTGTATTATAGCAAACTGTACAACCATTTCTTAGGAAATAATATTAGACTAATTTGGGAGCCCACAATGTGGTACAACATGTAAGTCTGTACGTATATATATTTAAATGTCTACGATTACGTTAAAATTGAGAAATTGTTGCTCATACTGTGTATATGTAAGGCCCATAACTCACGTTAATATTTAGCTACAAGTTTCAAACTTGGTCAGGTACTATATAATAACATACTATATTTTAGAGAAAAAAATTATTGACAAATTAAGGGGTCCACAATGTGGCACAATATGTAATTATGTATGAATATACTTAGTGCCTAAAATATCGTTAAAATGGAGGAACTGTAGCTCATCTATATATATGGCTCCAAATCTTCCCTTTATATTTACTTCTAACTTTCAAAAGCTGTCAGATATTATATTATAGCATACTCTAATATACATAGAGAGAAATTCGGGGAATCACAATATTGCACAAAATGGTTCCATTCCAGAAACTTCTTATAAACGTTTTTACAAATCGAACGATCAGACGGTGACCGGTAGTGCTAAGTGACATGAAACCGGAAATCATAAGATCCGAGGTTACTTAGTTTGAATCCTGAATATGGTCATTATTTAAAAATCATATTAAGCATAAATTATTTTTTTAAAAATTATTTAACAATATTGTAAAGTAAATAAAATATTCCTTTATTTTTTTTTTCTTTTCCAAGTGCGTATAGTACTAAAAGCTTTAAAATGAATATGTTCCTTGAATAGTGTGTGTATGTATATAAACATATGGCCCCATGTCTGCCCTTAAATATAACCTATAATTTTCAAACTCAGCCAGGTATTATACTATATTACAGTGCTAAAGGAAATAATTATAATCAAACTAGAGGGACCAAAATGTGCACAATATGCAAGTATATAGTTATAAGTTCGTATAATAGTGTTA